ACCATCTCATGGTGCCAAATGTCATTACACAAAATTTCATACCAGACCTTTGATCAGAAAACTGTTTCTCTGCCACACAGAGCAAAGTCATCCTGAGCATAATGTCACAGCTGTGGTTATTCCTGGTTATTCCCATAATGTTGATAGGTTTTTTTTTGAAGGTTTTGAGCTATTTAAATTTCTGTCTTTTGAAAATCAATTTAAAGATACATTTAAAGATAGAAATGCACATTTCTTATGAGTTGTCTTTTTCTTTATTGCACAGAACAAAACAAATCACTACATTTCATTGAGTCTAAAAAGTTATGGCGTGAGGCTCAGAGCTACTGCAGAGAGAACCACACAGATCTGGCCAGTGGAGCAGAACAGTTAAAGGAAGCAGTCAGTACATTTAAGAGTTCTGATAAAACACGATCATGGATCGGCCTGTTCAGAGACACCTGGAGGTGGTCAGATGGGAGTAATTATTCTTACAGACACTGGAGAGATGTTGGTGAGTTACATGAAGAGCTGTTTGAAACTGACAGTGGCACCAGGAAATGTGCGATGACTGAATTAAACAAAGAAGGAAAATAGAAAGCTGATGATTGTAACACCAGAAAATCTTTCTTCTGCTACGGTGATGGTGAGATTTACAAAGATTCATCTTTCACATCTGGTTTCTGTCAGTTTTCTTACTGAAGGAATAAATGTTCAAACTAAACGAATCTTTCTTAGTCTCATGGAAAAGCTGTACATGAAGAGGTTGGTATATGTTTCATCATCAAGCTAAATAATGCAACCTATTATGGAGATTGAGCTACACCCCAGACACATAATGCAGCCTCCTTTCATTAGGAACCTGAGTTACAGGAGTCATAATAGTTTCTGAGTGTGGGTATCGCTACTGTTTCTAATAGGTTCTAGATTTACAGCTGTAATGAGACATAATTCTAGTGTCTAAATCCTCCTGATAAAAGAAAATTAAATATTTTTTTTAAAAAGGGCTCATTCAAATTTAAATAATAAGACTTTCATAAAGTAAATCAGGAAATGTAAACATTCTAAATTGGAAAAACTTAAAGCAGGAAAGTAAAAAATATACTTACTTATACTTATTTTTATGAAATTTGTGACTTGTTTTGTTGTTTGTTTTTTCTTTTATTTGCTCCACATATTTTTTTGTATTTGAGGTGGAAAATCTTGCAACCTGATTTCATTTAATTTGAACTGAACATGTGTTTGTTTGCAGAAAAGTTGATCCTGATCAATGAAAGCCAAAAGTGGGACGAGGCTGTAAATTACTGCAGAGAGCTCCATCGTCACCTGGTCTCCATCACAAGCCTTGAACAGCAGGAACTG